TTTGACAGATGCAAACACATCCATTTTGTTTTTCTTTACACCTCTTACTTCACTTTACTACTTCAAAATTTCAGAGTATCCAAGTACTCCAAAAAGAATTTCACAATAATCCAGCAGCCAGAAAAAATCACTTTGACAAGGATTTTAAGAGCACACAAACACCCCCGCAGCACCACCATCTGCTCCGTGGATGCATTCACAGGCCGGAACAGCATCCCAGCTGCTCCCCAGGAGCTGCGTGGCCCAGGAAAAGCTGTGACTTGCAACCTGAGAGTAGCAAAAGCCACCTCAGAGCTGCTCTCCAAAGTGTTCCAAACTCCAAGCAATCTCAAAGGGTTTTATTTTTGCTTCAGACTATCCCTTTAACACGATCATTTTCCCCATGGATTGTAATAAAGTCAGCAAGCAGCCACTTAAGCTTGCATAAGGCTGCAGGAAATCTGCAAAGAGCTGAGGCTCTCACAGGCCCAAAGCTGTGCTGTGCCTGTTAACTCACGTTTCCACAGCTCTGCTCAGCTGCACCTGCTGCCTCCTCCACATCCATCACACCTATTGTGATGAATATTGTCAGGAATATTGTTTTCCTCCTGCTTCTCACAGGAGAAGCTCCCTGGTTGGTTTCACAGCTGCGACTTTGCTGCCTGGGCACATTTGCCACTGCTTTCAGCAGGAGCCAGATCAGACATCACATCTGGGAAGGCTGTTCCACAGCCTCTGCATTAAATTCCATTTCACTCCACAGATAGAGCCTTTTGTAAAAGCAGCACTTCCACTCAAAGCCTGAGAATGCACCAGTGCCAGTAAAGAGCACGTGCTCCCACCGAGGTTTAAATGTGCAAAGCAATTGACAAAGCAACCCCAAAATGAGCAACCCCCACAAACGAATGAGGAATGTGTAAATATCCTCTTTCAGCAGGAAGCCAAGTACAAATGCAAAGTATTCTACCTACAAAAGAAAACTCAAAAGCCCTTTGCTCCCCAGGGCCTGAAGGTGATGCCGATGCTGACACTGGCACCAGCAGGAGCCTGGGCCATGGGAAGGCAGAGGGGCACTGGGGTGTGTGGGTGCTTGCAGCTCCCAGCTGTGTCCCTACACAGCCCAAATGCACTGCTCAGGGCCAGGCTTTCAGAAAAATGATGCTATAGTACGTGCTATTACCACAAAGGAAACCACAGAAACGTAAAAAAACCTATTTTATCAAAGTCTCCTTTCCCATGAAGCTTTTCCAGTCAAAACAGGTGGAGTCCCTTAGTTTGCAATCAGGCCTAACAAGGAAAAGTTGAGCATCGCTGGGGCATGAACTAAACATTGCTTAAGCTCACTATTCTCATTTTCTTTCACAGCTGAGTAAATTGGAATGATTTATCTCCTTAAGATGTATTTGGGAGTCACACACAGCAAGAACACCTCAGGCAAATGAAAGCTACAACCACCTTTAATACACAGAAAGCTTTTGTCATTACACTGATGCATCAGTAAGTTACTAATTTATGATGAAACACCATTTTAAAGGTTATTTGAAGTTTTACTCCTTTCATTTATGGATCTGACAAGGCAAAAATTTTGTTCTAAGTTTCTATTTTATATGAACTAAAGCCATTTAAATGTCTGCACTCAGATTACAAGTGGTTAGGGCTCACCTACCACTTCTCTTTCTCTCCTGATGCAATTCCCTTCTTGAATACAGTTTACAAGTAAGTTTTGATTTTTCATAGATGTGTGCATCTCCAAGTCCAAAGGCTTTTGTAAAATTAAAACCCTCAGTAATTTTTCTGGATGCAGGAGACCCAGAACTATTTCCTTAAGCTTTTTCCACTTTTCCATGTGTATTTGCTGATTCTCCAAACCAGTATCTACTAGTCTCATTGAATGACATATTTTTAAACAAACTCAAAAGCACAACCCACATTCTTCCCTGCAAGGGTCTCAAGTAAAAGTGCACTCTGAGCTAATCTCGACTTCCTTTAATGAACAGCACTTCTGTCTAGGGAAGACTACAGATGGCAAATTCCTTGGAAAAGGTTACAATTTATGTGAAGAGCACACAACAGAATAAAAAATTACTTCATGATTCAGTGGAGCATGCTCCTATTTAAATAAGTGTTACTATATTTACTTCTCTAGAACTAAAACACAGTGACTCCTCCAGGAAAACACTCGAACCACAGCTCAAAAAAAAGTGTGTTATGTAAACAGCATCTGTTAAAACAGGAGGACAAGGCCCAGCACTTGGCCATGTAACCCGAGCAGTGACCCTGGGCACACAGATTGTGGCTCTGAAGCCTGATACTGTCACTCTCCTTTGCAGTGCCCCAGCAGCACCCCAGGCTAAATAACACCCCCACCAACGTGGGGTTTATTTTTCCTCTGCAGGCAGAGCACACCTTGGGAAAGCCAAGAGCAGGTCTTGCTCCCAAACAAGAGACTTTCATATCTGAAGCACAACTAACTTGCTCCCTATCTTGGATGAAGTTAGGAAACACATCCAAGGAAGAGTTACCCCATCTGACTGGGAAAGAGCATGCCTGCCCTGCAGCTGACAGCAGCACCCGAAAACAGCAACCCTGCTGCTCACAAACATGTGCTTGTAGCACAGCCTGGCTGTGCCCAAAGGCAGGCAGAAGCTGAACACCCTCAGGTAACTGAAATCACTTGGTATTTAAAAAAGGCACATCCCACTATTTCTGTTCTAGTTCCACTACAGAGCAAAAGCAATGGTGTGCACTCAAACACTGTGTGCACAGAGCTGCTGAGTGCCACAGCAACATCTCACACAGCTGCCTATTGCAGGGAGCTGAACTAAGACAAGGGAAACCAACCCCGGGCCTGCAAGGGCTCCTGTAGGTACAGAAATCCTCAAATCATGAGCCATTCAGAACACTTGTGTACTGCCCAACACACACATTAAACATTTCTGTGCTCTGACTTCCTTTCAATTCCAATGCATTCGCTTCCACCTTTTGGGATAATGAATGGAAGGAAGTTTCCAAAGTGGCTCCTGGTGACTACATTCATCTCCAGCCCTCCCCCAGCAACACCATGCACTGGTTTTCATCACCCAGATGGGGACAGCTGACACCCTCGCTGTGGCTGATAAGCACAACCACGCAGTGGAAACAGCAGAACCTAAGACACCTGGCTATCAGCACTCTGCCATGTTTCCAAAACATGAGAACTGGGACAACTGGATCCTCCTGAGGCAGCGCCTGAGAGCTGAGGTGCAGCAAGGCTGGACACCTGTGCCCTGCCTCCGTGTCTGCTCCAGGGTGTGTCAGGCACTGGTGGTGCCAGTGAGAGGAATTTTTGGATGGTTATTCTTGTGCAGCCAGGACAGCAGCAGCTGTACTGAAGTTTCAAAGGCTGGAGTCTCAGGAGAGTGCCCCCCTTATATCTTCACCCCAAGTCATAACACCAATGTATTTAATCTTGTCCTCACCAGTACCTTACAATTTTTGTCAGCATCCAAGTAAGGTGATATCTGGCCTAAGTTTAAGTTGTCTGAGGAACAAACTCTCATATCTGGTCTGTGTAGATACCCGAGATGTAAAACTGAGCTGGTTGAACTTCTCACTGCAAATACTATTTGAATTCAGTGTGTTAAGCTCTGTAAAATATTATTGTAAAAATATATTTCAAAGAAACAGCTTAGAACAGTTTCTAAAATGCAGAAATTCCATTTATTATATTGAGAATATCAATTGCAAGAAGTCCCGCAATGCATTCTCTTTACTCTAAATACAATACAGTACACTGTTCTCCACAATAAGTTACATAAAGGCAAATTTTATATACATATAAAAAAGGATCAGTGCCCAGAACTATTTGCACAGCATATCTGCTATTCAGAAATCAATCACTTGAATTTTTAGTTGCCTTCAGAATTCTTGAGCAAAATAAATCCATAAACAGATCTTAATTACCTGGTTTGAGAAAGGTTTTCAACTAATAGCTAAACTCAGCAGAAACCATGCAAATGGTTTAACCACTGAATTGTCATTCTCTGCATTCATTCTATAAACAAATGTGTTAAAAAATGAGGCATGCCATATGGTATCATATAAGACAACATGGAGAAAAATGACCTGCCTGCATTTGAACTGTTTATGCATCTCAAAACAACCAAAAGGGAAGTACCAAAATAGTAGTGCCATTGTACAAGGCACTTATGAGACCACAGCGCAATTCTGCTTAAACATGCCCAAAAAAACCCAACAAGCAAAAAAAAAATACCCAGAGGAAAAAAAAACCAAACACTTTAAAACATCCTCCAACTGAAAAGTGAAAAATAAGGCTACTAGGATGATCAGTGGAATGAAGAGCATTGTATCAAGAAAGACTGCAATAGCACTTGCTTTTTCAGTCACTGAAACAACTGAGAATACATGACACCTTACAAAAACATGTCAGGAAAATGCCCAAAAGAGAAAGAATGCACAAGGAAAATATTGGCATAATAGCAAACAGGCCTCTAATAAATTCATATGGGAATGAAAAGATGGTTCCTCAACTTAAAGGATGAGATACATAGGCAGGGCCTTGGAATAAGAAGGAGTGGGGCCAAAAATATTTAAGCAAACAAGTTTGATAGCACAGCTCAGTTTATAGAAGGGATGTGGCATCTACTGTGGGAAAGGAGCAGGCACAGAAACACCCAGCTGGAATGTTCCCAACTTGTCTGATCCATCTCTGAAATAAGAGGTATCCTTTGCAGTGTGAACTTCCATTATATGCTCGAAAATTCCACTTAAAAGGATTTTCGTTCCCACACCCCCAAATTATTTCTATTCAACCACGTCAATGTCTGTTGATACAGCACCAAGCCCTTACTGTGGAATCAGCACCCTGCACAGCTGCTGAACTGGTCAGCATGTCCATATACCTTTCACGGTGAGATTATTTTTCCACACCTTTCTCTTGCTTCTGCAATGGAGTCTAAGCATAGTATCCTTCTAAAGTCACAGTGCAGTGAGCCATACAGACTGAAAATACTCAGGACACAAAAGATTATTTCATTTAATTCTCAAAAGAATGCAAATGTAAGAACAGAAATGTACCACATGGAAAAGTGTTGAATTGTACATTCCACAGATTTTTCCAGTTGATACTGAAGACACTTTCCTTCAACTACATATGCTGTCCAACTTAACTGAGGTGCTTGAACTCACAAGATATGTAGGTTAAGAGCATATCAGTCAAAGGATTACTCAGAAAACAAATACGAGAACGAAAAACCCTCTAAACTCTTCTTCACTGAAAAAGAGAGGCACTGCATTTGTAAGCTGAATTAAGGCTGTAAAATGATGCTGGTTCACTGTGAATTTGAAGTCAGCGAGGGCCCCGGGGAGCCCTTCAGCCCACGGCCTCGCTGTTAGTCCTGTAGGCCTGCTTGCGGAGGTGCGCCTCGATCTCGTCCCTGAACACCAGCATGCCCAGGTGCGAGTGCGACGCCTCGTTCATGGCTTTGGACTGGATGCACATGCGGTACTGCTCCGGGGTCAGCTCGTCCGCACAGTGCTTCTCGTGCCACAGGTGGAACAGCCCAGGCACCGGCGTCCTGATCACCATCAGCTCGCCGTGCAAGTACTTCCTGTACAGGTGAACGTCCTCGCCGCCCCAGCCTTTCACTTCCAAGTCAAAACCCCCTACAAAAACAGCATCAGAAATCGTTACTTGCGTGCACAGGCAAGAAGAGCGACACTCTATGCCTAACGTGTTACCAGATCTGGCATGACATTCCAGAAATTCTGCTGCCATTATCTGAGTTTCCCATGCCATAGCATGCCAATATGAGGGACAGGAGCTTCAAGGATACCACATCCTTTGTGGTGGAAACTGTCCAGGACACAGATCTGCTGACTTCAGAAAGTCTCTTAGAGCAGCGTCTCCAAATTGCATTATGCATGACAGCTCATGTGACAGCTGCAGAAAACTGTAGGCAAACCTCAGTGGCTATGCTTTTGGATTATTTTTAGGAAGCATAATGGATTTTAGCAGCTGGAAAATGAAGCAGTCATGCACCGCATGAGAAATCCTCTCTGACAATGCCAGCAATTACTCCATAGGTCACAATTCAAAAAGCTGGATTAAGGAAAGGAACATGGTTCACCATTTTAAGCTCTCTTGTTTTTCCAGGACCACAGTGAAGAGCAACCCAGGCTCTTGTACAATTTGAGAACTCCAGAATGATGAAGTCTTCATTCAGCACGTACCACGCAGATGGCAATATGACTGCTATTAGCAATCAGCCTGCACTCAGGCCATCGGACATCAGCACACAGGGCTGTGTTGTTACATCTTCTGGCAGATTTACAACTTCTGGCAGACTATCCTCACCACCATCTTCCACATTTAAGCACACCAAGCTGCTCTCAGTTTTAAGAACGTGCCACAAGGGGGGGCAAAGCACATTGCTAAAGACTCCAACAACTGCATTCAACTTCTCAAGGATATTTAAAAGAAAGGATTTGAATGCTTCTTGTGTATGTGAGTGGCTTATTTGAGTGACATGTTTCTTAAACTTGATTCATTTGCTTCAGACAGACATGAAGTAAAAAAAAAAAGAAAAAGTAGTATTTAAAAAAGTTCTAGAATTAAATGTTTCTACTGAAGCTACTGTGTCTTTTAAAACACTCAACAGATGGGATACCAAAATCCAGAAAAGCTCATTTATTTCATTGGTCAAACTTGTCAAGCGAGCCTGACTGCTGCGCTTGGGGAAATAATACAAGAAATAAATTTATTACTTTCCTGTCATTAGTTAAGACCAGAGAATCACTTTTTAAACACAATTTTTTTCTTTAGTTTCATCTTACCAACAGTCAGAAAGTCTGTCCGATATTGACAAGTCATCCCAAAGCCAAAATCCCGCCAGAAGCCAGAATCCTTCTTGTGTACCTGCAATTTTAAACCAGTATCATTTTGAAATGTAAAATACAACCAAGGAGTACACTGCACTTGGTTTTGCACAAAGTTAAGCTCTTCCAACCATTTTTTCATGCATGTGGGCTGCTGTTCACTTCACCCTCTGCCTTCCAATTCTGCTCACCCTCATTGCAGTTTTCACAGCAGTTTCTGCTGCACCACCTCTATTTCCTATGTATCTTCCCAGACCAAGCAGTAAATTAGTCCATTGCTAAATCATCTGTTCCCAACACTCCATTTCCTACCCATTTTCAAAGGCCACATTTGTCTCTTGATGTGACATGACATGAAAAGTAAGTTTTGTGATTGAAGTCAGCAAGCATAATACTGTTAAGTTTAAAAGAGTGAACGGAAGAGCTGTCAGGCAGGAACTCACTCCTCTCTCAGCTGTGATTATCCAAGACTATATGCAAAACCATCCCTCCAGCTTTCAGTAGGATCCTTGCAAACAACATAGGGGATGAAGGCCATTATGTTTTCCTTTCAAGTACTGCTCTTCCTCACACTACTTCTCTTCTTTCCCCCTCCAAACCTGTCTATCCCAGAAGTCTCAGCTGCAAAACCCAATTTCATCTATGCAGTGTCTTGATGAGAGGGTCAGACTGGACACATCATTCAGAGGTTTTTGCCTTTCACCAATGCTTTGCTTGCTGGAACATAAGATGAAAGTTGCTGCCATGCAATGCCACCATCCTCATAAAATCCTGGCTTGTGAAGCCGGAATAAGCAGCAGATCAGAACCACCACCTTTATTTGGTTAATAGCAATTACTTGTTTCAAACTAGATGGAACTCCAAGTTTATCTAAGAATGAATTTTGTACTGTTAGCCAAGTTTTTTTTTCCAAGTGCTTTGCCCATAATGGAGAAAACTGTTTAGATATGCGGTGCCAAAGGTTGTTAGCTATCCCAAACAGACTATTAAGTTACACTTAGCTTTGTTTTACTACAAAGCACACCTAATTCTATCCAGAATAAATCAAGCTGCTTACCAATTGCTGCTCCACAGGAGGTGGTATATCTTGGTTAGCATAGACAATAGCAGGATTGTAAAGGCTGAATACCACAGGATAGAAAACCTTTTTCCCTGGAAGTCAAAAGGTAATTGTTACTCACTGTGGGCATGCTTTCTGAAGGCAAAAGGAAACCAGAAACACTCTTTTTAATGTAAAATATTACCTATTAGGCATCTAGTGGAAATAAATAAAAACAAGTTCTAGCTGCTAAGATTTCCCACCTAGGAAGCCTGAAACATCTAGTAGGACAGAGCCCATAGGATTAAAAAAAAAAAAAAGTACATATATTATACATATTACACTTGATTTACCTTTATCTACAGTTGTTCATGTTTATATAAAATATTAGATATCTCAGTATCATTCTAGGTGACAGAAAAATTCCTGCAATAATGATATGCATTAAAACTAAAAAGAAGCCAAATCCAAGTAACACTTGGATTTGTTGAGTTTTATGAATTTGTGTCTTTCCACAAACGTGTAAAAGCAGATACATCCAGGATATCCTGCAAGGGCATCAAGCATCATGAGAATCCTGAAAACACCAGTTCTGTGTCTATTACAGAAGCCAGGTAAATTTTTCTCCCATGTATGTCTTGCACTGCCAATGCTGCAAAGGCATTGACAACAATCCACAAGAATATTCACTATCCTGACTTGGGCATGAACTCTGAAGGACTGAGAAGCATTCTCAGATCTCATTTCAAGCAAAGGTGACAAACTGCCAGTATGAATTTCAAGCAGTCTCTTGAACTCTATTCCCTGTTAAAGCTCACAAAATAATCCTCTCCAAAATTTTTCCAATTATTTACACAAGTTGTTTCATGAAGTACAGAGACAGACAGAAATGGAAGACAAAGCAAGAAACAGAACCCAAATATCTGGCTTCTGAATAATTTTCTTGCCTGTTTGTTAGGTGAAGAAAAAATATCTATTGATTCCAAATTGACATTTGGAGAAAATGGTTTCTGACTGCAACGAATTTGAAACAAGAGTAAGCATTAAACAAACACAGATTGACAGGAGGAAGCCTTCAGCAGCATGCTTGTTAACTCTAAAAAGTTTTGCCCTTCTTGGCAGAAGCTTGGAGAACAAGCAAGCATCATACAAAGTTAAGAAAAACAATCAGAATATTTCAAAGCTTGGGATGGAACAGTGGAACATTAGTTCAGTCTCCATAAGAAGCACATTGCAGCTCTACTGAAAACCATTCACATGTGACATGTCTTGGCATACATGTGTGAGAAGAGATAAACATAACTTGTTACAGATTTCAGCATAACAAAAACCATCTTCCACTGATGGAAGTGGAAGTTACACTGAGTTTTGTTACACAGATTTACATGCAGCATAATTGTTAAAGCAACAATTAAAAAACTGTCCAGCTTTCTTTCAGGTAACTATATCTTCAGAAAATATGAAAATTGTACAAAAAAAGACAATGTGTTCTTAAAACAAGCTACACTAAGGCAGAAGCTCTTTCTCAGTCTGACTGCCATTTGTGCAGAGTGTGATTCATTTCCCAGGGTGTGTGGTACTGAATAAGCACCACAGTTCTAGCTGAGTTTTCTTTGTTTTCGGTGTGCTCGGCACAGGTCAGCTGAAGTCAAGCACAAGGTGACAAGGCTCCCCTCCAGCACAATAAGGGAACATACCGGGCTCAGCATTTAAGCGACAGCTGTTGAGGAATTCGGCTGTGAAATAAACATCAACATCACAGAAGAACATCAGGACCTCGCCCTTTTCCCAGGCTCTGGCACCCATGTCAAGTCCTCGGCCTCGGTTGAATTCCTCATTCAGAGAGACAAGCGTGTAATTGTGGAAGTCAGTTTCTCTACAAGAAAAACACAGCCAAACCCAAAATAAATCTGTGGGGAGGGGCAGATGGATCATTTATAGTTTTTTTAACATTTTACAGGAATTTAATTCCAGAAATTTAAAAAGAAAAAGTTACATGACCAGAATGAGAAAAATATATCTGTTACACTTGTCTATTTTAATTTCAAACCTTTTAAAATGATAGGATCAGTCTTACTTTAGAACTTCACTTTGTGTTTAATCATTCATACAGATTAAAAGGCCTTTTGTTAACTGACATGAATTAAAATGCTCTCCTGAATTACAATGGCATCTAAAATTTGTCCCCATAAACCAAGAAGTCCTGACTAACAGAGAAATATCTGTCTTCACAAGCTCAGAGAAGAGGGCAAACAGGAAGCCAGAGTCCTGGCATCACCAGACTCATGGGGCAAAGGCCATCTGTGTGGTGGCACCACCATAACCCAGGCACTTTGCCTCTCCTCGCTGTTTAGCAGTGGCACAAATGCCTGTACTCACAGCAGAAGAGGGATGGAGCAGCCAAGGAAGACTGGAAACACACTCAGAGAACATCTTCAAGCAAAGTTAAGTGTCTACTTCAGAGACACTTCAGAAGACAATGCTTGAAGAGAACAGAGTGAAGATATTCAACAGTAGAACCAGTAAAAAGATACAGAACCAGATAAATACCCAGTGAGCCTGCAGCACTGACTCAGTGCTCAGAGGGACATCTCACAGGCAGCAGGGCAGGCAGCAGAGGCCTCAAAAATGGAGGGGTGCAGCACACAGCAGGTGTTGTGAGACCACAGCAAAAAATGCAGGAATTCTCTCCTCCCTTCCTACAAGATGCCTGTACCTGTCAGGACAACTTCCATCACATGCTCCAAGCTGGAGACAAAGTAGCTTGTGTCTAATCTATGTCATGGAAAGGAGCCTGGCCAGCATGGTGAGACAGGGATCACAGGAGAGCTCAAAGGGAACAGGATCCCAGCTCAGGAAAGAGTGCAAGAACTCAGGTAGTGAAGGAGCCCCTTGGCTATAGAGTAAAGGATGCTGACACCTGTCCCATCTTCTCTGGAGCAAAAACCATAAAAGACACATTTGGGAATTTTACATCCATACTGATGTAACGCTACTGCTGAGACAGCCATGATGATGCTTTAAGTTATTTTACAGCTGAGGGTAAGTACAAGCCTACTTTGACTACTACATTTCTCTTCCCTATCATTAAATAAAATTGTTTCTTCAGTGAAGTAACTGAAGTAAACTGAACTGAAGTAAAATGTACATCCCAGTTCCAAAGAACTTAAACGCTAATCAATCTCTTAGAATGACTGAATATCCACTGCAAAACTCATGCCTGTTGCTTTTTGGACTGTCAGAAACATCAAAGTCTTTTCTGGCTATAACTTGATTTTTAGAAGCCTTCAGGAAACTTTTGCAACCTAAGCTGTAAAATGGCAACCATAAATAGTGTACAGTAAATAAGTAATAAATTTCCTAATAACCTGTAATGGAGTATAAACTTTATTTGGTATATTTCTTCGTTCTTTTTAAAAAAACTGTTTAAAATGCCAATCAATATTGTTTGTACTGACTGATGTTGGATTGATACACTCACCTAGCTACAGATTCCATGATGCTTTTCACTTCTGATAGACCATCTTGTCCGAAGTACACCACTGTGAGATGAACACGCTTATCCTGATGAATACACACATCCCTATAAGCACAAAGATAAGCTGGTATTAGTAATTACTTGCAACACAACAGAAAACCTCAGGTATGTAAAAGCTACTGCATTAAAAGGTATCAGCAGATTGAAATATTCTGGTTAGGTATCAAGTGGCTTCAAAGAAAACAAGGAAAGATGTTTCCCCCTCTTCTTTCCCCATCTCGTCCATGTAAGTCAGAAGGTTCCAATACTGTGTGTCTCATTCCAATACCTTATTTTATGAACAGGCACTCTACAACTGATGTAAATACAAAAATTATGTTCGAGATCATCTGTGTCCAGGTTCACAATGACCCTGACATTTGGTCATTGTGCTGCAATTCAAGAATCTCTTAAGCCCTTTTAGAAGGAATGTTTTCTCCATACAGTAGGTTCAATTACAAACATCCCAAGGCAGTTGCACACAATGTTGGAATCATTAGCTCTGCTGCAAATCAACCAGAAAAGGGATTCATTTTGAAAAGGTAACAAAATACTGAAAATCAGCAACATAGCTCACTATATAATCTCATGCACCTACCTAAAGTTTTGCATAAATTGTGCAAATGCCTCAGTTCTTCCAGCAAGAGGAACAATAACGTTAATGATCGATCTAGAAATATCGACTGTTTCACTCTTCACTTTCATGAGGGGTCCAAAAGGTCGGAACAAGGTGACATGCCTGTACTCCATGCCATCCATCTTCTTATAAAACAGCTCATATTGTGTCCCCTTATCTCTTTCTGTACGATAGTAACCTGAAGAATAAGTCACACAAGTAATATGTAAAGTCAAAGATCCCAGCAGTTGTATTTCAGAAACTGATTTTCCTAAGAACTAAAGAAGAGGGGCAAAGCTTCTGGGTTTCTCCTAAAAACATATGAAACTTCCACAGACTATTATTAGTCACAATCACCCTTTATACCATTTTAGGTCAGACTTGAGAAACAATCCCAAATGAACTCCAGCTTCCCCTGCTTCTTACAGACAACAGGTTTCATGGTCCTATGCCAATTTCTCATAATTAAGAGTTGGGTCTTCCCAACACAAAGGGAATTCAGCTATGTGCTATGAAAAAGGATGGCTGAAATCTAATATTGCCTGCCCTTAAGTCCTTCAGTAAGAATCTAGCTCTGAGCTAGTCCACAGTAAAATCTGAGATCATTTGGCCAGTAATCAACACAAGAAAATCACAATTTGTTCTGAGGGCAGAACAAATGACAGTAAGTTGCTTGACAAAGTCTGCAAAATCTGACATGAAGCATTTAAACAAAACAACTGTGTGATAATGCTGGAATGCTTTTAAATTGTTTTCACTGCTGAGCAGTAGTTAATGCTTTCTATCTGATAAGTAAGTGGTATTTTACTACACCCACAGTCTTCTAAAGACATAGGCAGACCTTCTGGACAACAACACTAGTCCCTCCAGAAACAGGACTATATGTTGAGAGATATTTCACTCCTAATGGGTAGAAAAAAAACCAACTGTCTCTTTCAGAACATGGTCCTTTTACTTAAGGACCATCAAGGAAGGAAGTTAAACCAACAGACTCTAATTTTACACTACACAGGAAAGGACTGAAGCTCATCTTTGGTTTTGACCCTACTAAGCTCTGTGTTGCTAATTCCATATCTATGCTAACCTGACAGTAAGAAACAACGACAGGAAAAATCCTCCATCAAAAATGTCTTATGTTCATCCCATATCTGCTCTCCTCTCACCAGCAAGGAAAAGAAGTATCATCCAAAAGAACCACAAGCCATACCATGAACTGGCATTACATTCCAGTTAAGTGGCCACCCAGACCATAGAGAAAGTAACAAACAGCTGCATATTCCCAAGTGTGATGCACATCTAGCCCTCACAAGATGCTTTTCCATTCACCTGTCTGCCCTGAGCTGCCCCTTCTTCAAGCCAGTCTCCTCAGCAGCTGAAATCCCTCCCAGGCCTCCCACCCAGAAAGCAGCTGGTGGCAGAGCACAGAGTAGACAAGCCATTCTGGAAACACAAAAGGCTCTCTTTTGTACCCAGCATTGATATTGTCATTTTTGTTGTATTTTCTACAACCAGAATCAACACTGGACAAGGTATGTAAAAGAAACAGCCCTCAGCCTCAGAGCAGCTTGGGTCTGACTGTCTCAGGAACCAGAAAGAAGCGATGATATAGCTTTGGGTCTCTCCTTATGGCCAGGCCACTATTCTCCACGTTCCCTTCCCTTTCCATACAAGAAGCAAAGGACTATGCACAACACCTGGACCTGACTTTTCTCTATATCCCAGATTCCATTTACAAAGAAAGAATCCTTTCCCTAAATCTACCTCTGTGTTCCTCTGCTTCAGCCTCCATCCCCAAACCAAACCCAGATGCATTCACTGATGTTCCCTCCTTCTGCCTAGCAGTCTCTCTTTTCCAGCAAACTCCTTACACCCCTCCCATCCTCACTCTGTGGTCCATCCTGTCCTGTGGACAAGCATTGGCAGACCCAATGGGAAACATGCATGGCCACCACAGAGGGGCTGTGGGACACATGGTGCAGCTGAACAAGTTGTGGGACACATGATGTAGCAGAACAAGCTGGTCCACAACACTGGAAGTCAGATGACTGAACCTCTTAACTGAGAGGCTTTTACCCTTTGAACAAAGTTCTGCAATGTTCTCCTTGAAAAGACTGACATTCACATTTATGCTTCTGTCAGCACAGAGATGCATAAGTATGTACCATGTTTTAATGCTTATTTTCAGATCATTGTCAATTACAAGCACTGAAAATGGTGTTTCAAACAATGAAAATCCACAAAGCTGACTGCCAGAAGGAGCAAAAGATTTTAAATCCCTCTTAACCCTTTTCCATTCCAGCCCTTTGTGCTGCACAGTCCAGCACTGTAGCTTGAAAACAGCATCTTGGTTATCGGAGCAGCTGATGCACCACTGTGCTTGTACATCATTTTCATGTAAGCAAATACTTTGTACCAGGACTCCTGGGGAAAGTAACATTCAGTACTTTATATTTTATTATTTTCTCTGCTATCCAATAGCTATTTACAGATAAAAACACCATTTACAACGTAAGTGAAGTTTTTAAAAAGCATACCAGCTGCCAGGAGCTTATCTTTAATCAAAAGATAAGCTCAGATGTCAGTCTGCAACAGAAGGCTCTAGTACAGAATAAAATTTTCTAGATTAACTAAAAAAGAAAAACCAAAAGCAAAATCCAGTGCTGTAACTTCATATAGACCTGAATATGCAAATTCAAATCTGAATAGTGCCTTGCCAACATTCAAATGTTGAAATACGAGATTCCAAACTTTCGAATCTCAACATGCTACTAGAGCCAGACTTCTTTTAAATAGTATGTACCCCTCGAGTTATCCTCCTTGCTATGAGCTAGCCTCATGTTGCTAATCTACTAATTCAAATGCTTTTATGGGACTAAAGTTTCTATACACAGAAGCCAGATTTGAGAACAGCCAGAAAAAGAACCCACATCTGCTTTACTTCTTAGTGTATTCAGGTTTTTAACACTTGGAACTGACTCATTTAATAAAACCTGTTATCTCACCTTCCAACTAGCATGCACTGGCTGCCATCCAAAACAGAACTCCACAAGCAAAGAGGTAAAAAGCAGCAGAAATAATTTAACAGTTGCTATTCCTGGTCCACAAAGCTTTACTCCCTTTGCAGAAGGTTCTGTTTCTCACCAAACAAATTAAACATAGGAATCCTGGGGATCAGTTACTATCAAAGCCAAAAAGCTGCTCTTCTATTGCCTTGAATATTACTTGTTTTACAACTACCAAGGAGGTGTTTGGTCTATGGAATTTAAGATGTATGACCTGATTTTCTTGGTGTGTATTAGAATTCTCCACTGAAGTTCCCAGGACAGTGGTCAGTTTCTGGTCTTATGCAGCACACACGACAAGGGCTGCTTGCTCAACAAACCATCCACTCTTCTATGGATGGTAAGCACTTGGAGCTGACAGCACAGGAATTTTACATGACAAGGATGGGTGGGGAGTCTTCCTTTTTGATGATGACCTAAAAGAAAGTTTCTAGACTTTGCCCAGCTCCAGCTGGAAACACAGAAGCAGGAGAAATGGACCCGAACAGCACTGCTAGATATTCAATAACAAGACCTTTACTAGCAATTAGATAATTGCTATTTAGCTTCTCAAAACATGCTAGTGTTTCTGTTTTCCAAAGGTTAATTTTAAATGTTTGTGCAATGGAAGGGCTTTTAATCTCCTGATTAAAAAAGCCAATTACACTGCTAAATGTAAACCCAAATAAGCCAGTTACAGTGATAGTGAAGTGTGTCCATGAAGGCTTGTCAAGGCTTCTCTATCAACCATTCAAGACTCAATGTCACAGGCTTCTGGAGAAAGGGAACAGACAGAGGTAATATTATCTCCTCTGAATTACTCTCCATTTCTCAATATTATCAAATACTGATTTCAAAGAAATCTATTTTTAATGGAGTACAGTCTTAGAACGTGCAGTTCAGCGATTAGGTCCCTTGCTCATAATCATAAAGCTATTCATTTGTGAAAATATGTAAAACTGCATCTTTTATCCTCTCTAGGGATACTCTTCATCCCTAGAGAATAGGATACTCTTGATTCTCATACACTTAGATCTAATGTAAACACTAAGGAAAAAAAAACCAAAACAACTTCAAAGTGTTTCTCAAAGAACAACTGCAGAACAAGACTTTTTTTTTCAGGTCAGATTTTTGTTCTGTTAATGTTAGAATTCTGGCAGTTTCATTATGGGTTGCTGAAAAGGAAAACAAGTACAGCAAACAGAGCTCAAAAACTTCCTGGTTTTCTCTTCATCAGCAGAGCAAATCAACTGAGCTTTGTGAAAAATACTTTGAAGTTTTCAGAAAGTATCTTTGTAGTTGTAATATACACTTAGAATTTATTTTTTTTTTATTTTTTTTTACTTAGTGTTATTGTTCAAGGCCTGCATATAACCAAGATGTGGCTGTGGCAGCTCCACCTTATCACAATTCCAAAGTGGATTTGGATCATCACTTTGTCCTGCAACTCTAAAAATATTGTATCAGTTGAGAAAACACTTGGCCAGAGTGCTCCCTGTTGTGGATACAGCTTCCTTGCACCACTGGTAGAAGACAACATCTTCATGCAGAGCCCACAGAGGCTGAGCATGCAGCAAGGCAGCTGTGTGAACAGTTAAATCAAGGACACAGAGCAAAAATGCAGAGTGGTAACAAGAAAAGTTGGCAGCCATCAGCAGGTGTTTGGAACTTTTTTGGCCTGCACAGTGTTAAGAGTAATAAAAGACAGTAGATTCAGACTACCACAAATATTCTTGGCTAATTAAGTGTACTTTTTCAGAAAAAAAAGTTTGTTTAGGAAATTCCTATTTATAAAATAGAAAACAAATCAATTTTAAATTCAAGTTAATGGTATTTGTTGTGTCAAGTTACTCCAATATAGATAAATCCTAAAACACAGTATGAAAAAAATCATTCTTGATGTTTTTTCAAATGAAGACAGTGACATTTCACTGACTGGGCATCAGAGGCAACATAAATGCTGAGAAAGAACTTCAGATATATTCAGCAGACATTAAAAGACACCGCTAAATAAAGTCTATAAGAAAAGGTATTCTAAACTTACTTAAACAGTCACCAAATTCTCTAAGGAGAGAGTACCTGAAAGTACATATCACAAAAAATTCCTTGGTTCAAAGTTTACCCTACTATTTCACAAGTCTAGAAAAATAGCAGACATAATTTCCAGAACCAAATATTGACCTATATAAAAATAGCCTGTTGAGGTAACAAGCTAGAAGACTTTAGAACAAAAATGCCTATTTTTTGTAGCACAGTTTTGTGGGTAAGTTTTTGTATATGGATATACAGGAGTTTTGAGCAAAAAAATCCTGCAAGTCAGGAGATAAAATCAACTTATCTATACTGAGCATAAAATGTGATGGTTATGTATTAACTAATGCAGTACCATGTTTTCTTTTGTCCCAGAAGTAAAAAAAGAAAATCCACACACCAAGTTTCTCAGCCTCCAGTTTCAAATTGCACAATACTCTAGTTTTAGTCACAAACCACTTATTACTAAATAATTGCCAACTGAAGAGGATGTAGAACTTGAATTATTTGCTTCAACTGAAGCCAACTTTAAAAACTGTTTCTCTAAATAAGCAACACTAATTCAGTAATAATTTTGACATGCTCTGAGGACAGCTACAGGACCTGTTCTGACTTCAGCTGACACAACAAGTCTGCTATGCAATTTGATCCTACCAGTTTAGGACAGTGTAAGGGAGTAGTACTTTACAAACAGAAAGGCATTAGTTTTTCAACTGGACTTCCATCAAAGGGGGATGCACAGGCAGTGGAGGCAGAGTGCTAGAGCCTGTTCATGGGGCTGCAGGCAAGGACCTGCATGTACCAACACCTGCTGAGTCTGCTTCTTACCTCTGGGTTCTGGAAAAATAAGCGTGGGGAAAAATATGCTACCATTCAGAAGATGCCTTTTTTTGCTGGCTAAATTAGCCAGTAGTATTTGCACATAAAAAACCCACAGAATACCCACACAGCCCACAACTTCTGTCGAAGAAAGATACTAGTAGATATAGATAATGCTATGGCTGGTTGCTAACACATCCATATGCAGCATAAAAGACTTGTCTTTCCCTACAGTTCCTGTAACCCTGTGTTGGAAGTTACTGTCTTTACAGAAAAATGAAATCACTTTGATTTCCAAAAACAAATACTGGTGTGAAGAGAAGCAGAGGTATGAAGTAATATTCTAAGGTCCTAGAACTATTTGCTTTCTTGAATGTCTGTCATGAAAGACAGTACACTAGAAAATCAACAGCTATTTCAGTCATGGTAAAATAAAAATCTACTTGAGTACAAGCAATATCTAGAACATCAATGGGAAAGTGGCTGAATATTTAATGTAGAAATAAAGTGCAAGAATAACTTCCCCTGGGAAAAATAAAGAGGTTTTTAAATGAGAACTGTACTAAGAGCCTAACACAGGCTGTGTTGCATTGACCCAGCTGAGTGGATTCCATGCCCTGCACCACCTTCTGGAATGAAGAAGAGAACTTGCATCAAACTTTAAAGTCAGTAGCTGTAAAAGCAGACTTTTTGCACTACAGACCAATTACATCATCTGGGACTGAAAGAACCCATTATTTCAAAGCCAACAGTACCTTTCTCAAGCATGTCTGCTTAATAATACAGACATCAGTATTTACTCCAGAATCCCTTCTACATAATGGTCCACCTTTTGGCTTTTAACAGCAGCATGAACTATATTTAACACAGTAAGTGTAAAGCAGAGTTACTAGGGCAGCTTTTGATAATACTGATCTCCATCAGTACTTGCACGAGACCATACTTTGAAGGCCACCTGCCATAGGATTTGTCACTACTGCATCTTTTAAGAGCCTTACAAAGTGCTGAAAGTTTAACTGCTACATATGCCTTTATAATAATACGTGTTCTGCAATTAAACTTACAGACACTGAGACAACACTTAAGAAAGAACAAGAGAACAGTTCAAGGCTGCACAGCTTAGCAGACCCCATAAGTGTATGAAAGGTCTATTCAGGACACCAAGTTCATCAGCTGACAGGCCCAGAACACAGCCTCCTCCTCCCTCCAGTATGACTGTGTCAACACTAAGAGAGTCAAATGCCTGAATATTAACTAAAAGTGGTATAGAGATGAGTGATCAAAAACCATGTAGCTTCATAGTGGATTGCTTAATTGTTCTGGTACATGAGAGATGAATCAATATCTCCCTCCCACTGCCATCAGTGTCACTGAAAGTCTTTCTGTTATTTAGTACCATAAGCAGCTGTGTCACACTGACTTTGGCTACAATTACGAATGCACCCATATTTTAAATAGATACAGCTTCCCCTGTACACCTCTTGTGGTGAGCCCTTCTGAAATGCATTTGTCTCTCCACTAAAAACCCAAGCTAATGAAGCTGTAATATTCTCATTGTTAGAAATAAAGGGTTCTTATTGTGCAATTACTCTTCAAGACTCTATTCAAGTAGGTAAAACATCTTAAAGTAAAAACACCATTTAATGCCTGTTGTGACATTCTGCTAAGGGGCTGGGAAGCATGTGAACATACCTTCTATAAAATCATTTTCACTATATAGCTGCCTGTTTCCTACTCCATCATCTTCATCTTGTCCATCTTCTTCATCTGGATTATTGATAACTTCTAGGCCAGCCTCGATAACTTCCACCAATTCATCTCGTTTATCCTTTCTAACAGGTTTCTCTTCTGGATGCCGAGTGAGCCCCATCTCCAACTGGAATACTTTCATGGATGTAAAGCTTTCAAAAGGAATGACTCCATACTCACTAGGCAGTTTGGCCCCCACGCTCACCTCAGCTTTGTCGATCTGGGAATGAAGAAACTCTAGGAGATCATTGGATGTTTGCTCTTTGGTGCCCTGATAGTTCATACCATTGACCTTTGGGCTCTTTTTTTCCTGCAGGGACTTCAATTTGTCACTCATTTCCTGAAGCTCTTGCTTTAGCTGGGCAATCTGACGTTTCAGACTCGTAGCTCGGTTCTGATAATGCTCTTCTTGCTCCTGCAAGAGAGCTTGATAGTATTCTTTACCCATGCTTTCGCCTACAACACCAGGCAGAGATCCGTTGCCATCTGTTTGTGGAGCACACTCCAGCAAATACATGAGCAAGACTAAACTGAATAGTAAAGCAAGGCCCACCAATAGCCAACGAGTCCTGGCTTGAATTACTAAGCCTCTTCTGGGCATTCTCATATTATTTCTGTTTCCAATCCTAAAAGATGACTTATCTGCTCTTGCTTTCCAGGGGACATCACCCCACACTTGAAATCTTAGAAAAAGAGAGAAAACATAACTGTAATAGCTACTACAGGTTCTGCTAACATAGCTGATGAGCAGTTTTCAAGCTTTGCATTAATCAGGTGTTATTGCAAAGACGTAAATCAGAAGTTCCTATGTCATCCATAACCATCAACTGTAAGTCTGGTTGACGCCATACAATTTGTTCAGGATTTCCTACCCCAAACAAAAAAAAACTGCCAAGAGGGAGGAAGATAGAAGATACCAGCAAGGAATCATATTTCCATTTCCTAATTCAGCCCTAGTTGAAGTGGCTTAGCTTATTTGATGTTTTATGAAGGAAATCTGCAAAAGTAATAGACAGCAATTTTCCCCCCCCACTGTGTGTGACAGCAATCTACAGTTTAGTAATAGTAATTTTCATTGGCTAGTCTTGCTTTTCCTCTGGCACTTGAGTATTTTATTCCACTTCCCCTCCTTTCCTTGGAATCTGGGGATTGAGTCAGCAAAATGAAGACAGAACCTAAAATTAAAAGAAAGGCAATTAGAACTACAAAGCAGACAGTCATTGGAGAAACACATGAACAAAGTTCTAACATATGCATGCAAAAGACTGCTCGTTTGGGGAGTGAGAAAGGGAGAAAGAAAAAACATTTATTTCCTTGGCATTACCCATCAGCAACTCCCTTTGACACAGTGTCTGGAAAATAATAATATGGACAGTCCAATAAAATGCATTTGTCACACAGCTAGCCAAAGCAGTAACAGTTCTTCTAGTCTCACCATGGTTTATTTCACATTTGTCTTAACTCCCCCATTCTTCCTTGGGCTTCTGTTTTGTTTTACTCTGTGAGAGGAAAAAAGATACCAACAAACCCTATGCCTTTCCTACCCTTCTAAACTGAAAAAACCAAAACCAAAAAACCAACCGAACAACCAAAAAAAAAAAAATCCATGAACTATTTTGAAGTAGCAGAAACTTGCAATTTCATTTGCTTTTACTTTAGGTAAATATCTTTCAGGGTATAACTGTTCACTCATGAATAAAGTATTATAGATTTAAATATCAAAGTTTACAGAAACCACATTTCAGATTAAGTCAAATTCAGCAGAAATTAAAATTCAAACGCCAATCCCTGACTGATGAAAGGGATCCTGAAATTATCCATCTGCTAATACTTCCACCTTCTGATATGGTTAGGGCAGCATGAAGAGGCAGTGACCATTTTCATGGGTCACACTCTTATGTGACTGACCAAACCAGCCTAGAGCAAAAGACCAGAGAAACAGACCACAGTTATGCAAGAGGAGGATCCTACACAGCACTGAGAGCCAGATAAATGTTTTACAATGACAGCAGAAAAACCTAAGAAGTAAGCTCAGTGCATGTTAGTCTACTTTCAACATTAATAAAATACTTTCATTTAAAATTTGCTTGTATAAAATAAGTGAAGCTCATTAAAATTTATCCAGGGACCTATTAGCTCTACATCCATTTTGACTGTGTTATGCAATTAGGGTTTGGGGGAAGTTCTGAGAGTCCCAGTTTAGTTTCACTATCCTTATGAGACTAGGAAAAAAAATGCTCACTCTCATACTCCTTCTATATGGGTTAGACAGATTTATCTGGCACTTCCAGGTGCCACCCACGCCCATCTTATGCTGACCCCGTGGGTCAGTCAGGGCACCACAACGCTCCCCATGTGTTTACAGCAAACACCTGGCACTGTGTCTCCCCAGTTGGGTCTTTGTGACACTCCTCCCTTCCCATTCAGCTTCCAGCACCAGGATACTGCTCCTATGTGAATCAGGTACCCCTGACTCACACTGATACCAGTGGTATCATCATATTCAACATCTTCACTTGTGAGAAAGCTCCAATTACAAGGCCTGAAAGATTAAGTGACTTACTCATACCACCAGCAGCAACGCCTGCCACAGCCAACCCAAAGTTTGCAGGCATAGCACACACACCAAGTTTGGGGCAAGAGCTGCACACCTTGAAATTGTCCTGCTGAAGTCTATAGGACTGCTTGAAGCAGCTTTTAGTATTCGTGGTGCTGAAGTCCATGTTAATAAATAATGTACACAGATTATGTAGAAAGTCTTAATACAACTGATTAAAGACAATTACTCATCTAAAACTGAAGCTTTTGGAACTCATGGAAAGCTACTAGAGACTTTGATACAAAAGAAGTAACAGTTTTATCAACTGAATACTAGATAACAAGCTTTCCAATCCAGACAAGCCAGAAGTTAGTCACTCCTCCCTGCACAAACACAACACTATATAAATGCAAGTTGAATGCCTATGAAGGGTGATCAACACCAGCTGTATCCTCAGACTACTGACCAGTGTCCAGATGTGATGGATCAAGGGAGACAGAATAAAAAAATCTACAGGATAAAACCAGTTCACAGAAATGACACAGGATCATCCCAAGCTTTCTTTAGTACAAAGTTGTCCATATGAAGTTTCTTTACATTTTTTACCAAATTCTTCTGTTAGACTGCAAGGGGTGAAGCCACAATTAAGAGCATAAAGACCCATAAGTTTCTTTACACCTCAGTAAATGCTAAACTGTACTGGAGCTACTCCATGAAGAAGCTGATACATCCTCAATCAGTAAAGGCATATTGAAAAATGATCAAACTATCTAACTTGTAGAAAACACCAGTAAATCAAGCCCCAGCTATTCTAATTGTCATGAACTGACAAACTGCTACCTCTGAAGATGGAGCATTAGTTCTAGTAGGCTTTTGTAGTCAATCCTACAAAATCAATCTAACAGTAAATTGCCGTGTGCTCAACTTTGAGGAGTCATTTTCTTTAGGTCTCATTCATGTCTTAGAAGCAAGGGACAACAGATCTCCTGATGTGGTGTCAAGAGGACACAATGTACCAGGAGATTAAGATCCACTTGGAGAATAGCAGGGGGCAGAGAGAGAACTCTTGTTCCTCAATACCTTTCCTCACTGTGGCCAAACAGACCATGGTAAAAATCATGGTAAGCATGGATTAGGGAGGCCAACACACCCCACGGGACTGCTGCTGGGTATCTGCAGATTTCTGACCCTTCCCACTGGCATCTGACCTATTTACAGCAGGGGGCTGTTTGGGGGAGCACTGCCCTGAGGGGTGCTCAGGGAAGAGATACAATAAACCACTTCTGAAGCAATGAGAGCTACATAAGCTGGGCTGTAAAGAGCTCACTGGTACTTTTCCTTCTAGGCTCTAATTATTCATTAGCTGAAACCCTTTATCTATGGGCTAGTGACAATCCTATTAACAAGACAGCCTTTTTTACAGAGAAAGGCATTGCCTATTTAGGTTTGGCCGTTTTTTTTGCAATAGACCATAAAGAACAGGCGCTTTTCCCACTAGAGCTTCACCGTGGCCTTTAAAGGCTAGGGATGTTTGTGCAACCAGTTATGCTGAACATTAAAATTTTAAATTGCACATGGAAAGCTGAATGGGTTAGTTTGCTAAAGCAGTGGGAACTGAGCCAATCGACATTTTCTTTCTTCTTTCAGGATTACTTCTGCTGAGGGAAGTCATCATAAAGAAGACACATTTCATCTTGAATACTTCAAAGAGTGAGTGAAAGCAGTAAGAATCTTCCTTCTTATCCCACTGGAAAAGAAGGGCTTATGAGTATTCTATCGCACTGTCCTCTCTTTTCAGAGGAAAAAAAAAGGGGGGGCAGCCCTGTTTTTGCATATTTACAACCCAAATTTGATATGAATTTGGTCTGACACAGCCCTATTTTAGGAATTCCAGTAACTAGGCTGTAGAATATGATTACAAGAGAAAGCAGGCTGTGAAACCCCAGAACAAGCAAAAGCACATGGGATCCCAAAAATCACAATAGGGAAACTAATTGGGTTACATGGAACATTTTAAAGTTGATAAAAAAGGACAGTAAGATTACCAGGTAATAAGTAATCACAAAGAAGTCCCTAGAATTTCAGCGCTTAAAGATTAAGTTCCAAAACTTTATATTGCACATGCTGGTATTTAATTTCATATCAGTTCTTCAGAACATGTCTATTTGCAATGGTCTGTATGATCTCCAAAGAAAGAGACATCTGAGGCTTATACAATGTTCATGAAGATCTGCTTGTTTTCCTAAAGCACCTGCTTGTTAATTCTTTTTGCATTTCCAGGGCCTTCCCTATATTCAACAATGGAAATGCTTCTATTCCTTACAAAAAAGTTCATTGATTCTTTAAGCACAAGGGAATAGACCAGGATGCTAATTGAATGCTTTACATTTATTTTATTATATTAGCATTCTGGTTTTTTTCCTTGTTGTAAAGGGTGAGTACATCTTTCTGAAGTGAGGAAACATTAACACTTAAAGCAGTGACCTAATTCAGTATGAACCTGGCTTCATACCAGACCATGGGGACATTCCTTGCGTGAGCATGCTTTACTTTAGACATGTCCTTTTCATTCAGCATGCCCTAGATGGTCACTGTTTAGCTACTCATGAAATTCCAGCTGAGAGTTATTTTATTGTTCATAATTTCATCCAGATGCCAGAGATAGCCACTGTGTTAAGCCTCGTCCATACACATATTTTTCTTCTTGGCAAGTTATACAATGAAAACATAAGGTCCAATCTCATCCCTTGCATATTCCCTTCTTAATCTGAACAACAGTGCCACTGAGAACAGAATAGCTTGGAATGTCAGAGGAACACTGTGCACACCTTTGTCTTCTCACTTGCTGAAACCAAACACAAAGCAAGCTGGGCATCTGCTGTTGCAGAATCTTTGCATAAACTCCAGAGTGAAAAACCTCAAACCATACTTTAAGTGCCACATCATCACTGCTCAGACAGTCCACTGAGGTACAGTCTCAGAAAAGACAAAATAATTTCTCCAGGGTTTTATGACACAGTCCTAGCTGAGCCAGTACCTAAGTCAAACTTGTCAGCTACTAGGAAGAAAGGAAGAGAAAAAAAAATTCACAAGAATTAATCGCTTAAATTCTCACTTTCCACAGAACACTAGTCAAGAATCTCACCCTCTCTATTGACAGTCTTACAATTCTGCCATCTGATTTTCAGCTAGTGCTCTGCCTCCCAAGCATACACACATATGCATTGCTGGATGGGAGAGAAGTTAAAAGCCACTATCAATTCACGGAAAGACAACCTGCATTCAATAAAACCAACAGGAAAGTGAAAATAATCACAATATATTTTAGACCTTATCAGTTTCACACTGAATTCTGAAAAAACTGAAAATTTTGCTTGTACATATTTCAACCATTGCCCATAGTAAATCAATCACATCAAGCACACGCAGCAGCTTATTTTCAACTTTTTCAAAGTTTAGAGCATGACACACTGTTCTAATTCATCCCAACTCCCCCCTTTAGTTGGTAAGCACTGAATTTCAGTTTTACTGCTCACTTTACCTGGTTGACACCAAAAGGAATTCTTCAAGCTACCTCTTGATTTTCATCAGTTTCCTTTCCTCTGCCAAAGCTAGAGTCCCATGGGGGAAACAGGGACAACGATGACTGTACACTG